CTCATCTGGCAAATTCTCAAGAGATTCACAGTTTTCGAGATTCAAATATCGAAGATTATGTAACTCACACAAGGATCTGGGCAATCCTTTTATTTTACTTTCGTTCAAGTTAATGTGCCTCAAATGGATCAAATTCCCTATTTCTTTTGGAATTGTATCCATTGATGCATTATGGCAACCAAAATCCACCAACCTTAGCTGTTTTGCTCAATTAAAAATGATTCGCACAGCCTCATTGGTTATTGCATTCTCCCCAGAAATGATCATAAGGCTCCGCAACTTTTCAGCACCATAAATGGAAGTAGGAAGACATTGCCCTTCTGGTATACATGCTGTCAAATAACGAGCTTTTCTTGAAGGCGAATCCATTGTTGAATTGCCTTTTGGGTTGACCTCAATCACAATTCCATTGTTGATCATCAAAAACCGTGCAAAATCATGCATAATGTCACGCATCTTCCATGTTGACTTTAGACCATCTTTATCCATCAGAAAATCTTGGAAGAAAGAGCAAGCTGCTAAGTAGCTAATGAACTCTCTTCCTTTTAATTGTAAATCTTGACCATTGTCCCCTCCTAAATAACCTTGTGCCATCCAGTGGTATATTATTGTTTCTCCATCGTACACAAAATCTTTTGGAAATATAGCACAGTACTTAAAACATTCTCTTAGTGGCAAAGGCAAAGCATTATAACTTAACAATAGAGCAGCAAAAATCATCTTTTCTGCAGTTTTTAACTCCCAGATTTCACTGTTCAAAATATCTTCCCACTCTTTTCTACCGAGCTTAGCACTTAGTAGGCATCCCAGAGTCTTTGCAGCAAGAGGCAAGCCTTTACACTTGTTTGAAATTCTCTTCCCAATATCCTCTAAATTCCGACACTGTTCAACACCCCTTCCAGAAAATGCTCTTTGACTAACTACCATCCAACACTGCTCATCAGAAAACGGTTCCAAATGAATGACATGAGAGTCCTCCATCATGTTTGCCACTGTATCCTTACGAGTAGTTAACAAAATCCTACTCCCTGGGGCACCATGTTTGAAAGTCTGGATCAGTCCTTCCCAGAGTTGCATGTCATCTCCCCACACATCATCCAACACAAGAAAAAATTTCTTTCCTTGGATAGATCTACAAATTCTATCACGAAGGGCAGAAAGGGGAAATGAATCAAGAGAGTCCGCTCCTTCAAATCTTTCAACATGCTCAACTCCTTTAATTATTGTTTTGGCAACATTACTCTCGTCAAATACATCTGAGACACAAACCCATATTCTATGATCAAAATGCTGCTTAACCACCTCATCCTGGTAAACAAGTTGAGCAATAGTTGTCTTTCCCACCCCACCCATGCCAACAACAGAAATTGTCTTAAGTTTTTCAGTAGATGCCGACAATAAACTGCTTACAATGTCTCCCTTTACCTCATCTCGACCAATTATAGCTGACACATCAACAAGAGCTGTACTCTCAATCCGTCTGCTATGTTGAAACACAGATCTTTGTACTAAGAAGAACGTATCTCCTTCATTGGCAATCACATCTAGCCTGTCACTGATTTCCTTTAATTTGAAAGCAAGATCATCACGCCTAACAACTTGGGCAGTATGTAAACAGTAGGTGATGTAGGAGCCTACCTTAGCCTTCAGAATAGAAGTTTTTCCAACTCCTTTTATTCTCAACTTCATGAGTGTAGTGATCCACTTGTCCAACACATCCACCAAGTCATAAGCTGCATCTGTAAGCCGACCTAACCAACATTCGATGGCTATGTCAGTCCTTCTCTTTTGCTCTGCATCCTCAAGGAAAGCATCTAAGGCCTCAAGGTTGTTCCTAAGCCTTTGGAGTTCATTTTTAGAATCTCCCCCCAGCCTCACCCCTTCCAATGATGCTACAGTTTCAACTCTAGCTATTAGGTCCAAGATTGAGGGAACAAGTGCAGCTGCCATTTCTGGAGCTATATATGGATCAAAGAATGTATATGTATCAGCAAAATAAATAACGGAAGAATAAGAACACGAGATTTTGGTGCAGATTGATAAGTGGCTATATAATATAATGATGGCAAAAAAAAAAAAGTGGCTACATATACATCATATTCAGAAATTTTGATATTATTTTTTATCGCAAATCTGTAAATCTGTAAACCTGTAAAGTGAAGATGATTATACCCAAGAAACTTACCGATCAGATGCAAGTCAGGGCAAAGAAACAACTTAACGGATCGAGAAATCTGAGACAGATCTGAAGTTGGAGATACAGTTTAACTTGAACAGGCATTCAAGTCTTCCTCCGGATCTAAAGAGTAGATACGGAGGACCAAAAGTTAGGGGGAGAAGTTTGAGAAAGAAGTAGAAATTGAAAT